TACACTGACTATTCAATATTATCTCACTTTCAATGTTCATAATTTTTAAAATGTAGGAGTGAAGCAAGGCTGACACAAAATAAAACTTTTAAACTTTAACCTTACTACTAGTAAATTAGAATTACATGTGTTTTGACATGGGGAATTAGGCTAGGGTATGCATCTATTAATGTTATAAGTTCTGAATTTAGAATCTGTTACAGATTATAAATTGAGAAATGTTTTACAGATTTTTTTAAATGTATTTATAGTCACACCCCACAGAGTCATAACTTACTTGAATAGTGGTGAAGTTCAAAAGGAAATTTTGGGTCTAAGATTGACAGACTGTGAAAATCAAATGTATCTTGGGATTTATTTTTTTTATAAGCCGAAGGACTGATGTTGCATGTGTGGAATGCTGATTGAAATGCAGAATTGAAAGAAAAGGAATCACAGCAACCAACATGTGTAGTTTAACAGCAATAAAATGCACCAATAAGCAAAATAACCCTGATGTACTGGGAGAGATGTAACTAAATACATTAAAGGAAATGGCTGAAAGTATGATTGTGTGATAACTCACATGAAAAGCGGTGCTCAGAGCAGAAGAAATATCGTCTCTCTCTAAAGAATGTGATCAGCCACAACTCGTGTAGACCCAATCAAAACAGACACAGTTAAAAATATTTGCCAAGATTACAAAATCCATAACTATATAATTTAACATTTGCATTTGCTTTGTAGGTTGATTTTATTACTTGTAATAAAATGTCACATTTTATAAATCTCAGAGTTTGTTTGCATTTCTGCTTTTTATCCCTTATTCTCTCTACTTTTGAACAAAGCCCTTCAACAAATTGAAGTAGGGCTATCAGTCAGGGAAAGGGAGGCCTTTCCTAATCTGGTAACCTTTGTTAGCGGCTATTTCATTGTTCAAAAGAGGTAACAAATTCACAGCTGTATATGCAGCACATAAATATTAGCACTGGCAAATTTCCAATTTTTTTCTTAATATTTCGCATTTAAAACTTAATATTTGACTTAATGGAGGCAATTTATTTTACACTCACAAGAGGGACAGTTGCCAAAGGGATCAGTTTTCAGATTACAATCCTCCAGTAAATGTTATGTTGTGATTTGTGACAGTGAGTAAGTGGAGGGTGTGAAAGGGGCTGGAAAGGGGATAGTACAAGGGCACCAACGTGGATGATGGGTGCTTTCCTTTTAGGACGATGGCCTTCTTCCCAGGAAGCTAAATCAGTCAGGCGGCAGCTTGGGGCTTGTAAGAAATCTTTAATTGCTACTTGATCAGCTGCAATAGGAGAGATGAGTCCAGCACTCAGTGACTTAATGAGGGCAAGATTTCTGTGGGCAGAAAATCATGTTATCCTGCTCTGGAGTCTGTTCTGCTGCATTGAAAAGGTGCTGCAAGAACAGTCCTTCAAATCTAATGAAAAGCTGTGTAAGATTTATGTTAGGGTCTCTGAAATGGTACTCTTTCCTGGCTGAGGAAGTCCATTTTCAAGAAATAAATCACAGGAGTGTTTTATGCTATCTCGTAATGTTACCCTTAATTCATCTCTGAACTACTCAGACTCAGATTAATAGGACAAAATACAAAAAGCAGTTATCATAGATGGGTTAAATACATATACTTCCTTTTCCAACTGCAGCTGGAAGGATGATTCATAGCGGGAATAAAGCAGTGGTGAGAACTGACACCAATGTTACTGCACATGTATCTTCACTTTGAAGATAGACCCAGATGAGATTTGACAGTTCCTCCAGATCTGACTTAATGACTAATATTTCACATCACAGGGCTTTCAGGAATATTTGAAATTCTAGCTTGAAATAAGCAACTTTGAAATTTCAAATGATTAATGTTAAGAGTAACATTTTTCCACTCATTCACTTACATTTGATTGCAAATAAGAACTTCTAATACCAATGACTTTTAAGTGGTGAGTTAATTTTCTCCACATCAGAAGACTTTGAAAAATAAAGCTTTCTTTCCTGCTTTCCAGTATCCTTCAGACACACTCAAACTTTCAGGCCTTTTCCAACAGCTATGGATCTTGCAATCTTCCTTTTGGTACTGAAAGCTAAGGAATTGGTGGCCAAGAGCTGGGCATCTAAGAGGAATGCCTTGTCTCACACAGTCATCTGACAATAAAATCATAAACTGGAAGTACTGCATGCCCAGACCTTGCACTTATTCTCCACAGATTTAGGTTCACCTCGATCTCTGGTGCTCTTGGACTGTGTTTATTCTTGTACAGTAAAACCTTATATTTTTAAAAAAATGTGAAAGTAAAGTAATATCTAGTAAAGTGACTATCTAAATCCAGATCACTAATAAATTGTAAGAGCAGTTTCTGTTGTGCTTTCATCCTGAGCCAGCTAGCACTCCCCAAACAATTCCTAGGAAGGGTTTGGGAGTTAGGACAAGAGATTCCCAAAAAGCAGCTGTTTTGTGGCCACTGTGCCTGAAAGGGGGAAAAGTTTTTTGTTGTTTTGTGTCAGTTGGCCTGAATGCCAGAAGAAGATCCCAGCGATGTTTTACTTGTGATTACAGAGGCAGGATCAGATTGAAATGGCACAAAAAGGAGTCCCCAAACTTCTAACCTTGAAGTAGTTTAGCTGTCACATTTCTTTGCTTACAAATGGGTTTTACCTTCATGTTTTTGTGTTCTTAAAGAAAGGCTTCTGGGACTTGCCTCCCATGCAGAGTGTAAAAGAGCAGATTTTACTACCTCTACAGTATTTCAGAGGGTGAATGAGGCTACGTCCACATTAGCAAGTGCAGAGCAGTCAGAGCTTCAGGCCAATGGAGTGAAACAGCTGGTGTTAGTGAGGACACAGCATCCACACTACACAGTGTGCAATCGTTTTACTTATGAGTAGCTCTACGCTTGTCCCCAGATAGCAAATACTGCTTGAGGTATATTAGATGTACTTTCTGGATGACAACCTTTAATTCAATTTCTTTTGAAATGAATTAAGCTTACATGCTCCAAGGAGTGTCCCACAATGCAAACCAAAGCTGAAGTAGGGATAATTGGAAGATTTATTTCGAAAGTGTACACCTGTTTCAAATTATAACATTAATGTAAATACATCCTAAACCAGATTATTAAAGGAAATTATACCAACCTCGATGGTTGTCCTTCCACCCTCTCCCAGGGGTCCTTGTCTCTCCTGATCTTTAAAGCTCTCAGGTTAATGAGTGTTTTGACACCTGAGTAAATATCTCTTGAACCACATTATCACTCTATGATAACACATGCATCATTTCAGCCAAATGTTCCAATGAAAAGGCATTTTGGCATTTGGTGCAGACAATACTGGTCTGAGTCTTCCTAACCCTGTGTGGTGACAGTATTTTGGCATGTTCTTCAGCACTGTTTCCTATGGGTTGGGCATGCAGTCAGCATGGGCTGTTCTCATGGCCCCCTCCAATCTTTGCCAAGTCCTCACCACTGGCTCTGGGCCACTGGCAGTATCATCACAGTGTTAGGACAATATATGAGTAGAAATACAATATGAAGTAAATTGTGCAGCTGACAGGTTCACACCATAGCCCATATGCATTCCTTAGCCCAGACTTTCCTGCAGCTTCCTGGGGTGAGATTTGTCATTTCTGAAGCAGTCTGAAGGTGATGCAGATGTCTTCCTGTCACTGTGAAAATGTATCTACTTCTGTCATGTCCTAATTGTTGTTTTCCTCCTCTGTTGAGTATAAGCTTTAACTAATAGAGGTTTAACTGACCATCAGTGATATTCTTGCTGTTTATCTGGGACTTCTTTGGATATTTTATGAATCTTCCAGATTATGGCACTACAAAATGCCCTTAATAACTGATGGATCCATATGTGTATCCAGATGCTCATCACTGTTTGTGACAGCTAGTTTGTCATTCCTGCCATATGGCTATTTGGCTCATCCTCTGTTTTTATTCGTATCTCCCCTGGGATTAAAAATACTTAACTAAAAGAATAAGTTACCTCATGACTCGATGACTTTAGTATTTGTGGTAATAAATAATTATATTATTTGTGAACTCTATTATTTTTGTGTGAGTCCAAGTACAGAGAGAGAAAATAAGAAGAAGACAAAGCAGAAATCTGGGAACATGGGAGTGAGAACAGCAAAGAACAAAAGAACAGGAGTAGCACTTTTTCGAAGGGGAGGAAGACAGGACATAGGGAAGGCATGAAGAGTGAAAAAGGGAAACAAACAAACACGAAGAGACAGAATGAATGAGGAACAGGACAGCAGAGTCAGGATTACATGAGTGAAACAGAAGAATGAATAGTGTCAGCAGTTTTCAGGAGTGATTGTTTACCATGCAGTTATTCTGTCTGTGCTGCTCTGCTCCTGCCCAGGTGGTAGCTTTTTCCAGTGACCTCTTCAAAGGAGCCTCATCCACAACCACCACCTCCCAAATACTTCTAGCACATTCCTTGCTCTTGTAGGTGTTCAACATGACCATAGAAATATCTGCACCATTCTATGAAATAACTGCGGTTCTTAGAGTCATTGGATAATTAAAGTTGGAAAACACCTTTATGATCGAGTCCAGCCATTAACCCAGCATTGCCAAGTCCACCACTAAACCATGTCCCCAAGTGCCACATCTAAGTATCTTTTGAACACCTCCAGGTATGGTGACTTCCTCACTTCCCTGGGAAGCCTGTTCCAACACTTGATAACCCTTTCAGTGATGAAATATTTCCTAATATATAATTTAAACCTCCTCTGGCACAGCTTGAGGCCATTTCCTCTCGTCCTGTTGCTCGTTACTTGGGAGAAGAGACCACTGCCCGCATTGTTACACCCTCCTTTCAGGTAGTTTTAGAGAGTGATAAGGTCTCCCCTGAGCATCCTTTTCTCCAGGCTAAACAAGCCCAGCTCCCTCAGCCACTCCTCATAGAACGTGGCCTCTAGACCCTTCCCCAGCTCTGTTGCCCCCTTCTCTGGACACACTCCAGCCCCTCAATGTCTTTCTTGTAGAGAGTGGCCCAAAAGTGAACACAGGACTTGAGGCACGGCCTCACCAGTGCTGAGTACAGGGGGACAATCACTGCCCTGGTCCTGCTGGCCACACTACTTCTGATAAAAGCCAGGATGTCACTGGCCCTCTTGGCCATCTGGGCACCCTGCTGGCTTGTGTTCAGCTGCTTGTCGACCAACATGCCCAGATTCTTTTCCATCTGACAGCTTCCAGACACTCTTCCCCAGGCCTGAACTGTTCCCTGGGGCTGTTATGGCCCAAGTGCAGGACCTGGCGCTTTGCCTGACTGAGCCTCATACAGTTGGCCTTGTTCCACCAATCCAGCCTGCCTGGATCCCTCTGTAGAGCCTTTCTGCCCTCAGGCAGGTCAATTTGATGTTATCTGCAAACTGCCTGAAGGTGTCCTTGGTCCCCTTATCCAGATCGTTAAAGATATTAAACAGGGTATATCAGGCCCCAGTACTGAGCCCTGGGGAACCACTAGTGACTGGTGCCAGCTAGATGTAGCTCCATTCACCACTCTCAGGGCCATCAGCCAGTTTTCTACCCGGCAAACTGTGCTCTCATCCAAGCCATGAGCAGCCAGTTTCTTCTGGAGAATGCTGTGGGAAACTAAGTCAAAGGCTTTACTGAAGTCCAGGTAGACAACATCCGCAGCCTTTTCATCATCTAATATGCTGGTCTCCCTGTCATAGAAGGAGATCAGGTTGGTCAAGCAGGACCTGCCTTTCATAAACCCACACTGGCTGGGCCTGAATTCCCTGGTTGTCCTGTACATGCTGCGTTATTGCACTTGAGATTATCTGCTCCATGACCTTCTCCAGGCACCTGTCTGACTGACAGGCCTGTAGTTCCTTGAGTCCTCCTTTTGACCCTTCTTGTAGTCAAGCGTCACATTTGCCACCCTTCAGACACCTGGCCCTGGTCATCCAGGACTGCTGGTAAATGATGGAAAGTGACTCTGTGAGCACTTCTACCAGGTCCCTCAGAAGCCCCAGGTGGATCCCAACCAGACCTGTGTGCATCTAAGTGGTGTAGCAGGTCACTTCCCATTTTTCCTTGGATTATGGGGACTTCTTCTGCTCCCTGTCCCTCTTTTCTGTATCAGGGACCTGGGTACCCAGAGAACAACTGGTATTACTGTTAAACACTGAAGCAAAGAAGGCATGAAGTACTTCTGCTTTTTACTTATCTTTTGTCACTAGATTTCCATCTGCATCAAATAAAAGATGGAGATTCTCCTTAGTCCTCCTTTGGTTGTTAATGCATTTATAGCAATATTTTTATTGTCCTTTATGGCAGTAACCAGATTAAGTTCTAGCCAGGCCTTGGCCCTTCTGATTTACTCCCTGCATAACCTCATGATATTGTTAGAAAAAAAAATTATTTTTTTTATTAAAGTCTTCCTTTGTATTTTATATTTATTAAAAGAAAATCTGGGGATTTGTGTGCATCAACATCTGTGCCCAATTTCCAGATTGCACTTATCCAATTATTGCTTTTCTCCCCTCTTTACAGACCTTATGCAACTTCATTTTTTTTTAAATCAATGTTTACTAAGTGACAGATAATATGAAATGTTGCTTTAGGACAGATTAATACATATCAGCTTCTTATGAAAACTGGGTGATAAATGATACCACGCATAAGTGAAAGATGAGCTGACAGATCTCAGAATGATAGCGTCTCTTTAATGTCTTTGCCACAGCCTGCTCACAAATCCTTCTTTGAACACAGCTTGGGATCAGCCTATCTGTTTCTCTTTTCAAGTTGAAAACAGAGATCCATTGAGATGATATATGTTCTGCTTACATGAAAAAGCATTTGTGATCATTATACATTCAACTGGGATCTGCAGCTCCAAGAATATTCTCTCTTCCATGAAGTTAAATAGCAACAAAGTGAAGTCATGATGCAGTCAGGGAGCTGTAATAGCATTCTTTCTTGTTTCATTTAAAAATATATGCATTGAAACTCATGGAAACAATATAATTTAAAGTAATCTTTCTATGATGACCTGAAGGGAACGACTTGCAAAAGAAACTCAGTAGTTTCAGTCAATCAAGGTTTGACTGGGTTCATTTTAAAGCTCAGGAGGGGTATTTGCTAAATGGAAGACAGATTTGGTGCAGTGTCTGCAAAACACGAAAGTGTAAAGGGACATTTTTGCCATTTGCATTTCTTGCTCTGTCTCCTGCAATGTGGCAGCACAAGCAACAGCCTCAACCATCAGCAAGGGAAGGTCTGGAAGCACCATCATAACAGGCATAATGGATAACTACAGAAATCAGAGCCCACCATACCTTCCAGAGGACAGGGCACAAAGCAGGGTGGGACACCTTGAGCAATTTTGAGCCCATGGGTTTCAAAAGGTCCGGGACCCATGGATTTGGAGACCCCTTTGGAAAAGTTGGCTCTTAGGCGTCTCTGTCATGGTGGGCTGGTAGGGACTTGGGGTTTAACTGAACTGCTCTGTCCATGGCTAGTGGGCAGAGAGAGGCAAGCTTGGTGCTTTGCTGCCTGTACCCACTCTGGTTGGGATGGAGTGAGCTTTCCCCACAGCAGCCCTCACAGTGCTGTGCTTTTTATTTGTAGCTAGAGACATGTTTTGTCTACTGATGGACAGTGCTGGAACAGCATCAAGAGTGCCTGTCCAACATCCCTTGTACCCAAACACCAGTAGGCCTGAGGTTGGCAAGAGGCTGTGAGGGTACAAAGCCAGCAGAGCTGACCCAAACTGGCAAAAGGGATAGTCCAGACCCTTTGATAACATGCTTAGCAGTGACAGCTAAGGGAGTGAGGGTGGCATTCATTATTAAGGTGTTTGTCTTCCAAATCAATCACCATGTGTGCTGAGGCCCTGTTTCCTGGGAAGAAGCTAGGCATAACTTGCTGGTGGCAAGTAGAGAATAAACATTTTTCTCTTGCTTTGCTCCTGGATGTGGCCTTTGCTTTCCACTCCCTTCCCCTTCTCCCCAGCCCCCCATTACACTGCCTTTATCTTGACACATGATTTTTCATCTTATTTTCTTCCCCAGGCAGAGCGATAGAGTGGCTTGGTGGGCATCTGGTGGCCAGCCAAGGTCAACCCACCACACTATCTCTCCTCCCCTCTCCTATTCCTCTCATGGAAGACTGATCACTGACAGAAGAGGTCAACACAAACTAAAACCCATAAAACCTTTAGGCAGATCCCTGCTGTGCTTCCAAGATGCTCATGTTTGTGGCAGTGATAGGAGATGTGAGCATGGTTAAACCACAAACCCATGAATCTGGCCTGATCAGAGGACTGTCAAGAGGCTTGAAGAATCCTGTTTTTCGTCATCACTATAGGGCTTTATTCACTTTAGGAGAACAGGCCCTGTTCTCATGCTCAATTAAAAGTCAAGCTCATTCACTACATTCGAGTTTCCTTCATCAAGGAGTTAAGGAAACATGGAGGAAATAGACTATTCACACTTTTATGCTATATGTTCCAGGCAGAGATGTTAATGCTACTATGCAAAATAAATCAGTGCATATGGGAAAGAAAAATAGTATTTATCTCTTGTTTAAGAGATCTAAAGGTCTAGGATACACTGTCTTGGCAAAACATCACCCACCACTCTTTCCATGGTAAGGAAAGTTCCTTGGGTATCTTCTCATGCAGAAGGGAAGGTGAATAAAAACAGTAATTGCAGATGAGAAATATCACCAATGAGTGCTCACCAATGAAGTGGAGAGTGCTTTCTCTTGATGTGGTGTAGCTAAAACAAGGACCATTGCATGGAGTCAAAAAAATCATCTGTTCCTGTCCCAGTCTTCTTGATATAATCCAGTTGGGTCACAAGGTGCCAAAAGCAGCAAAGTCTGTTTTGGATTCTCTGAATGTTTGACCCCGTGATGCATGAGTGATATTAATTGTGTGAGAAAACAAATCTCACTCATCTAGTCAAACTGACAAGCTAGAGGAACTCGTTCCCCTGTGCAAGAATTTGGGCTGTAAGAAGCTTCTCTGGGTATATCTCAGGCTCCTTGGAAAAAGGTTTAACCTCATTTTTCCTCATGCTCAGTGAACAGGAAGAGGTGATTGGTTTTGCAATGTGGTCACAGTGTCCCCTCCAAATGTGCTAACAACAGTCCAGCATATGAAAACAGATGCAGGAACAGTGTATCTTATTTATTCAATAAATGACTGTCAGGGTAAAAGAAAGAAAATGCAGAAACCAGGAAACATTGTGGAGGGGTCAGGGAAGGAGGAGAGTAGTACACTTACAGCCCAGGACAGGATTCCCAGCCCAGGACAGAATTCCCTGGCGTGGGGGAGATCTATTAGAGCAGCACTGCAACCCTGAGGGACCATCCCAGCATGGGGATGCTCTTGGAAAAGAAAAACCAAAAAGGTAGGGTTAAAGGATTTCTATTTTTTATCTGTAGCTCCTGTCTGGGCTTTTATTTGAGTGTGTCACTTGTAACTGCAGCCCTCGGGAAACCTGCTGCGTCAGAAAGGTCTAATTAACATTAATCACCTGTCCCCTAATTACCGCTATTCCCGGTACAGGGAGCGGGTGGCAACAAACAGCTTGGCGTAGGTGGCTCTCTTTTATTAGCTAACTGGAGGCTACGAAAATGAAGGGGGGGAAGTAAAAAATAAAAGAGTTTCCCAGCAGAGAATAAGCCAAAAACATCACCTGAATATAGGGTTAGAAAATGGCAGTACTGCCATAGCTGAAAGAGAAATAACAGTACGTTCCAGTGCGGACAAACTCCCATTGTTTCCTCTCAGCTGAGTCACTGTTTTCATTGCTGGGTGTTAAATGAATCATTCCTCTCATTTTCCACTTTGTTATAATTTGGAGTTGTGTTTTCAACCCTTTTGTAACCAGTGTAGAGGAATGCTGAGCTATTCTATTTGCAGAAATTACACCCCCAACCGCAACACTCCATGGGAACCATGTCAGAGATGTGTCTGGGGGGAGTATATGTGGTGGACTTGTGAGGATAAAGCAAAGAGCATCTGGCTAGAAGCACTGCTCAGGTATGGAGAAGGTACCTGCACAGACAGAAAGGCCAAGTCTATTTTCATTTGGTGATCTACATCAGTGGAGCCATTCTGCGGCAAATCTCATCATGACCACTCATGGTGCACCTTGGTTCAGTCCTCAAAGCAGTTTTGGTCTACACAGAGCAGACTGTTTCTCTGCTCCGTGCAGACATCAGCAGAGCTCTGGTTCCAAATGGGAACATGAGAATCTGAATCAAAGACTGGCCCTGGCTCTGACCCACATGTGGGATGGGGGATCAAGATTAGGGTCTTTGGTCCATCAGACTGATGATAGAATGTCATGGCTTCAGCACCAATGTCTGAACCCATGGGTTCACTCCCATTACTCTGAGCTACCCAGTAATGTGAAAATGGGCAAATATGTTAAATTTTTAAATCTTCTTTAGATGATTCTTTGATTGTAGAAAATAGGCATTTGTATCACAAATGAGGGTCATAAAACAAGACAGATATAAAGTTTCTGTTTCCCTTTCATTGTTGTTTTTGGGAGAGTGAGAAATGTAGGGAAGGGTAAAAGGCAGTGACCACAAGCAGTAGGTACCCTATATCTAACCCAGCCTAATGGGGTGAGACTGGCTGTCCTCTGAGGCTGGCCTCGCTGCAGTGAGGCACTTGGTTTCCAAGTGTGTGGAAAAATAAGAGATCCTTGGTTTGCCTATCCTACCTGAAATCAGGAGTTATTCTAATGGGACCCATCAGGTAATAACAATTATTTCAGTCAAGATGTGCCTAATTTCCACTGATTTGAAGAACAGAATTGAGCTAAAAAATTAAAAGAGTTGGGTCATGATCAAGCCAAAATATGTACTATTTGCTGATTAAATTGACTGAAGACGCAGCTGCTCAATGGGCTAAAGTAACAGTATGAACCTCAAGGCTGTTTTTAAGAACTGCTGTAATTTCCTTAACTGCACAAGCTACAGTAAAGTACTCTTCTTGCTCTTTCTGTGAAAGAGGCGTTACCTTCAGCTTACTTGAAAAAAACAACCTCACTTCAAGTGAACTTGATGGTTGAGTACCCATAGAAATTAGAGCCCTGAATGACCCATCACTGAGGCACTTTTAAATGTTTTTAAATGATTACCTCCTTTCTGTAAAAATGAGTATAACTCTTCAATATTGAAGTTAAACTTTTGTGTTCTGATAATTTAAAAATATCACTAAACCAAAATTTTCTCATGATCCAAATGTCTTCTGTCTCAGGTGCCAGTGTAGCAGCAAACCCATTATTTGCAACAGTTAAGCTGAATATTTACCACTAAATAAATGTCCTAATAAAATACTCCTGTTCTGTGCACTAAACACTACATTTTTGTTACAAAATTATGTGAAAAAGTAACTCATAGCTACTTTTCTTACATTATGAAATGAAGAACTGTTAAATTAACTGCATCTAATTAGATTGCTAGAAATTTGGTTTCATATCTTGAAAGAGTATATTATCTCAGTTTTTATAGTGGTGCTATGTTAGAGCATTTGCAGTTCAGCAACTAAGTGATATGAATCTTCAAAAATCAATCCATATGACTCATATGAAACTCAACTGCTCAATTCAGATAGATCATTTGCCAAAGATCAGAGAAAGGCAATAATGATAGAAGTTATAGACCAGGTTTAAAATGAGGAGCAATCAAATAAGTTAGTAGTCTTCCATGTCCAAAAGAGGTGACTCAAGTGGATGCAGCAGTTTTTCTATAAACTTAAAAGCTTATGACTTACACTGGGCAGTGATTGTACAGTGTTCCCTACTAAAAAGAAAGTCATCAAATAAACTTTGAAGGATTCTGATTCAAAATAAGGACAATCAAATTTTACCTCACAGGTTGCATAATTATACTACCATGCTCATTGCCATGCTCCACAACATTATGATGTTGTGGATGTAGAAGTTTAAATGTGTTGAAAATAAAAAGCCAGTAAGGGCTATCAAATACAAAGATACTGCAAGGTTTAGGAGTGTCCAAACCACCATCTACTGGAGACTAAATAACACATTAATGAAGTATTGGTACGTGTTTGCTCTGTCCTCACAGTCTTTTGTAACCATGCACATATAGTCACTGTCAGAGACAGGATTTGGAGATAGCTTGACCTTTGATTAGCACAGCTATCCTCACAGCTATCCTCACATTTTATGTCTGTTAGAGTCAGGGTCTCTTATTAGAACTATCTGCATATCAATATCATCTCACAATGTAGGTCTTAGCTTTTGCCACTGAGGAGCTCCTGGTCTTTGACCCAGGCTGACACAGCTAGAAAAGGAGATGATGGAGTAGAACATTGCACCTCACAAAGTGACCCAGCAATTTAAAATACATTGAGGATCTCTATAGGCCTTAAGTGTTGCTGAGGGTGAGGAGCAAGGAAGTGGGGAATATGTCAATATTTCAGTGAGGAGCAAGGAAGTGAGGAAGCAGGATGGTGAAGGGAGAGAATTTTAAGCTGCAAGGAGAAAGAAGCTTTCTTATCACTCGTACTGCATAACTTAGAGGATCTAACAGCTTTTGAGATTCATCATGTCATGGAGGATGCAAATATCTGTTTTGGAAAATCAGTCTATTTCTAGCCTAGATTTTTGGTTATGTGGGCACTAGAGCACTGTACTGTACTGTTCACTTGATCTGTTCAATGACAGCAAGCTCTTTAGCAGCCATAATTCCTTGAATCTTTTTCAGATTC